TTTTTTTTTTTTTTTTTTTTTTTTTTTTTTTCTGCAAGAAAGCCCTTTTCCAAACCCACTATCTCTGGCTGACAGCTTGAACATATATCGTGACCCATCTCCCTGAAAGTTTTTTTTTTTTTTTTTTTTTGAAAATACACGACCATTTCATTACAAATCTCAAATGAATCCCTCAAAGTTTTTTTTTGTTTTTTTTTTTTCTTTCTTTCTGTTCTTTCTACACTCTTCTCTCAACTTCAGTTTCTTTACCTTCCATTACCTACTCCTAAGACTATCTAGAGGGGACCCCTGCAAGCATAGTTTTTCCTCTCTCTGTGAAGGGGAGATTTGGAGGTTCGCATTTGCAAATGCAAAAGCTAGCCTTCCTCCAACTGTACGTGAAGATGACCCTAATGTGTGATCTGCACCTGGCGACCGAAATTTTCCCAGGTGCGCGTCAGCAGGACGAATCGTGTCCTGTTGCCCAACTGTGTACATTACCCTGAATTCTTGAATTCTTCTTGAAATGCCAAACTATACTCCCTGTATCTGGAGGTGAAGATGCCCAGATGCATGATCTGCACCAGGCTGTGAAAAGGCCAAGGTCCCTTCGGAACAGGGTTAATCATCAACCCATCTTTATTACATCTTCAATGTGACTTACGCCATAACTCGGCTCATAAGTTGTGGGCACTAGATCGTCACTTATGGTCGAAGGCCCGAAACAGGGGGCAAAACCCACGCCTTAAGTCTCAGAAAAAGCCTGGGCAAAGGCCTAAGGCCAATGGGCACCCAGGGCTGAGCCACAAAAAACATTCAGAGGCCATACGAGCCGCAGTTGACTCTAGGAAAGTCAACGGTCAACCCTAGCAACGGGATTCCAGGCCCAAAGGTCAAAGTCAACCCGCTAGTCAGCCACGACCGTAGATCAGATGCACAGCATTGGTTATCTGCAGGTATCCAGAAGAATCAGGTCCAAGTGGGACACGTGGAAAATCTGCAACTGCATAGACTGATCTGGGCCATCAACTTGTGTAATCAGGCCATTGGCGTACAATGGCCCAAAGGTGAAAGTCAACTGCAGTTTCCCACTTGCATAATCAGGCCATTGGCTTCCGATTGATCTGGGCCATCGACCTCAGGAGACCAGAGGCTGGTGAACGCGAGTCAACGCTATAAAGTTGACCCAGGCTGTGCTTGGAGATCATTCTGCCTTGTGCTGGCTGGATGCTGATTTGTAACGAAAGGCTGCTGGAGCAGTATGCTGGCATGGGCACCAGCCTTGAGGGAGATTATGCTGTCGCGGTCGTAGCCGCGTAGATTTATAAGGCGTTGATAGGAGTGTGGGCGAGGAGGCAGATGAGGAACTGGAAAAAGCTGACACTGCGGGTAAGCTTCTGGCGATCGACGCAAGAGTGCGGGGGCCGATCCAGCAGGCTCGTTCGAGTCTAGACCTGTTCGTCACAAAGCAGTTAGTAAATACGCTGGCGAAAGAAGGAAAGACGTGGCAAAAAAGAAGAAAAGGCTGAATCAAGCGAAATTGGAGAAGAGACTCAATTGAATGAAGAAATTATGGAATCCGATGCAACCATTCAGCGGTTGCAGGATGCGCTGGAGGCTGAAAAGAAGGAAAAAAAAGCTTACATGAGACATAGGAGAGAAAAGGAACCGCAAGTCAAGAAAGTGGAAGAAATAAAGCAGAAATTCAAAATTGGATCGGAAACTAATCTGGCGTCCTTGATTGAGAATATGATGTATCTTGCCCACCTCGAGACTAAGATCGACCGTGCAATTGTTGAACTCCACATGCTAAACTAATATGGTCAAAGGAAAGAATAAGGTGGGAAACGATGACGAAGAAAAAGAAATAAAAGAAGCAAAGAAAGAATGACAGGAGAAGTTAATGAAGGGCGCTATGAAATCTCGTGGACCCAAAGAACCGGAATCTCCCAAGAAAGAAACATCAAAGAAAGAAGAAGAGGGGGAGTCTGGGAGAACACCTTTTTATTATCGAAAATAAAAAGTGAAATTGGCATTGCCCTTTTACTTATAACGGAAAGAAAGGAGAATACCTTTTTATTATGGATTGCCGAAATACAAAGATATTGCTCGACCACACCTATAATTGAAGACAGACAGGTGGCCTTCTCCACTTCTTGCCTTGGGGAAGTTGCCAAGGAGTGAGTGTTGTCAGAGGCCAACGCTGCTGGCTTCGAGGACATTGGTGAGTGGGCAAAGACAATGACCTTGCGAGAATTTCTCCAGAAAATAAAGGAGAGATTCCTTGACAAGACAACCGCCCACAAGGGCGTTGGACTAGCGTAGACGCTTTGTCCCGAGAAGTCGATTGTTTACTGCAGGTACTT